ACTTTGAAGGTTGGCTTTCATACACATCAGTATTAAGTTTAGATCAAAAGTTACCTCAAGGTGCATTTACTGTTAACATGACTCGATCAAACAGATTAGAGGAAAGAAGAGAAAAGATCGAACTGACAAAGAACTAATGAAGATGGTACAAAGGTGGGCGCCAAAATCCCTCTGGGATCTCTTGTTAGCTCACCTGGTCCGAAGGACCATGGTGAGCTTATGCCATACCGCAGCGTCCGTCGTCCGTCCGTCTGTCCGTCCGTCTGTCAACTTTTCCTTTAAAACGCTACTTGTCATGAACGACTGAGCAGATTTTGACCAAATTTGGTCAAAAGCATCATTGGCGGAAGGGGAACAAATGTTGTATAAATGGTGGGTCTGGCCCTCCTGGGGGCTGATGGGCGGGGCCCAATAGAGGAAACATAGCAAATTATTCTTTAAAATTCTTCGTCTGTTGGAATGAAAGGATTTGGTCCATATTTGGTGTGGAGCATGCTTGGGTAAAGGAGAACCAATTTTGATAAATGGTTCGTGTGGTCCCCCTTGGACTTGAAGGGCGGGGCCCAATAGGGGAAATAAAGGTAAAACTTTTATAATCCTTCTTCTACCATAGGGTTTAAGGGATATTATCCTAATTTAGTCTGGAGCATCCTTAGGCAAAAGGTACTCAATTTTGTATAAATGGTGTGTCTGACTCCTCTGGAGGCAGAGAGGCGGGGCCCAGTAGGGGAAATAGAGGTAAAACCTTTAAAATCCTTCTTCTACCATAAAGATTAAGGGATTTTATCCTAATTTAGTCTGGAGCATCAATGGGCCAAGGGGACTCGATTTTGTATAAGCAGTGGGTGTGGTCTCCCAAGGGGCAGGAGGGCGGGGCCCAATAGGAGAAATAGAGGTAAAACCTTTAAAATCCTTCTTCAACCATCGGGATTATGGGATTGTATCCTTATTTTGTCTGGAGCATCCTTGGGTCAAGGGGACTCAATTTTGTATAATTGGTGGGTATGACCCCCTAGGGGTGGGGCTCTGTTTGAAGTTTGTTCTCACTATATCTCAAGAACTGTATGGATCTTTCTGAAATTTCATATGTACTTACAGCACCTACTTCATACCAATTATTTTAAACATATTCAGGTGAGCGATACAGGCCCTCTGGGCCTCTTGTTCATTTTCAATTTCTTCTCAAGAACTGGTGGATGGAATATTTTCGAACTTGGTCAGAATTATCCTTGGTAGATGAGGCTACAAAATTGTAAAATTGGGATTCCTACCCTAACCCAAGGGGCAAGGGCAGGGTCCCAAAGGGAAAATTTACCAATATTTCAAAAATCATATTCTCCAAACTCAGAAGTACTAAAGTCAATTTCTCTGAATGGATGGAAAGATCATCAGGGGCTTTATGTAAACTGCCCTGGGCCATCCGTTTTCTCTTTGGGAGGGGGTAAAGTTTACTATAGTTTATTCTTACTTAGTGAGAATCATCCTTGAAGGAAGATGGGCTTGTAAACTGTCCTGATGAAGCCCAATGTTTGTGCAAAACTGGTAGACCACATCAATAAACACAAGTAATCCAGTCCCTAGTTAGTTGCGATTGATGTTCACTTTTGGATTTGCCCTTACTCTCCAATTGCCTTGCATACCTTCTGGTATCCAAGCAAAGGACACCGGGACTTACCTATCCGCCACTATTCACCTCGGCATTGGCTCTACCCTAGGACTTAATAAAGTATTAGTTTTATTACCCTATGGTCATCTGTTCTCCATGGTTTTTATAAGGAAATAACACTTCTGACTATATCTTGTCCATTTTCAACAAGAAATAATTCAAACCTTGTTGGAGCAGTTATAATGAAATTGAAATCAAAAACTATCAGAAAGTAAAATCCTGACCTATCCCATAGGTTGGCCAAAGAGGATATTGGCTAAATAACAATAGATATTACATTTTTCAATAGCAAAATAATTTATTTGAATAGTTTTTAAAATTCTGAACCTTTGGTGACATGACAAGTATTGTGTTTCACTTTGTTTACCTGTTCCTATAACATAACTCAGGTGACTGCTAAGGCCCCTTTGGCCTTTTTTTTTCATGTGAAAGATGAATGTAACAGACACACAGGCTTCGAAGGATTTGAAAATAGTTTCATGTCTTGCTGTCTAAATGACTAAATGATAAGCATTAGATTTGTTGCAAAAAAAGGAAATTTGCTGCAGCTAGTTTTTTAGATTTTAGAGCATGTAGACCCTACGTAGACCCCATGACTCTCAGGGCTTTAACTGTCACCATTATATAGTAAAACCTTGTTATACTGTCACGATTATATAGTAAAACCTTGTTATACTGTCACCATTATATAGTAAAACCTTGTTATCCTGTCACGATTATATAGTAAAACCTTGTTATACTGTCACCAATATACAGTAAACCCTTGTTATACTGTCACCAGTATATAGTAAACCCTTGTTTAGCTGTCACAATTATACAGTAAACCCTTGTTTAACTGTCACCATTATATAGTAAAACCTTGTTATACTGTCACATTATATAGTAAAACCTTGTTATACTGTCACATTATATAGTAAAACCTTGTTATACTGTCACCATTATACAGTAAAACCTTGTTTAACTGTCACCATTATATAGTAAAACCTTGTTATACTGTCGCCATTATACAGTAAAAAGCTTGTTATACTGTCACCATTATACAGTAAAACCTTGTTATACTGTCACCATTATATAGTAAACCCTTGTTTAGCTGTCACCATTATATAGTAAACCCTCGTTTAACTGTAACCATTTGTCTGTAAAACCTTGTTTAACTGCCACCATTATACAGTAACACCTTGTTTAACTGTCACCATTATATAGTAAAACCTTGTTATACTGTCACCAATTGTTGTATTGCCACCATTTGCCTGTAAATAATTGTTTCACTGCTACCGTTTTCCTTTTAAAAAACTGTTTGTCATCATTTGTCAGTAAAACCTTGTTATACTGTCACCATTTGTCTTTAAAACCTTGTTATACTGCCACCATTATACAGTAAAACCTTGTTTAACTGTCACCATTATATAGTAAAACCTTGTTATACTGTCACCATTTGTCTTTAAAACCTTGTTATACTGCCACCATTATACAGTAAAACCTTGTTTAACTGTCACCATTATACAGTAAAACCTTGTTATACTGTCACCATTATACAGTAAAACCTTGTTATACTGTCACCATTATACAGTAAAACCTTGTTATACTGTCACCATTATACAGTAAAACCTTGTTTAACTGTCACCATTATACAGTAAAACCTTGTTTTACTGTCACCATTATACAGTAAAACCTTGTTATACTGTCACCATTATACAGTAAAACCTTGTTATACTGTCACCATTATACAGTAAAACCTTGTTATACTGTCACCATTATACAGTAAAACCTTGTTATACTGTCACCATTATACAGTAAAACCTTGTTATACTGTCACCATTATACAGTAAAACCTTGTTATACTGTCACCATTATACAGTAAAACCTTGTTATACTGTCACCATTATACAGTAAAACCTTGTTATACTGTCACCATTATACAGTAAAACCTTGTTATACTGTCACCATTATACAGTAAAACCTTGTTATACTGTCACCATTATACAGTAAAACCTTGTTATACTGTCACCATTATACAGTAAAACCTTGTTATACTGTCACCATTATACAGTAAAACCTTGTTATACTGCCACCATTATACAGTAAAACCTTGTTATACTGCCACCATTATACAGTAAAACCTTGTTATACTGTCACCATTATACAGTAAAACCTTGTTATACTGTCACCATTATACAGTAAAACCTTGTTATACTGTCACCATTATACAGTAAAACCTTGTTATACTGTCACCATTATACAGTAAAACCTTGTTATACTGTCACCATTATACAGTAAAACCTTGTTATACTGTCACCATTATACAGTAAAACCTTGTTATACTGTCACCATTATACAGTAAAACCTTGTTATACTGTCACCATTATACAGTAAAACCTTGTTATACTGTCACCATTATACAGTAAAACCTTGTTATACTGTCACCATTATACAGTAAAACCTTGTTATACTGTCACCATTATACAGTAAAACCTTGTTATACTGTCACCATTATACAGTAAAACCTTGTTATACTGTCACCATTATACAGTAAAACCTTGTTATACTGTCACCATTATACAGTAAAACCTTGTTATACTGTCACCATTATACAGTAAAACCTTGTTTAACTGTCACCATTATACAGTAAAACCTTGTTTAACTGTCACCATTATATAGTAAAACCTTGTTATACTGTCACCATTATACAGTAAAACCTTGTTATACTGTCACCATTATACAGTAAAACCTTGTTATACTGTCACCATTATACAGTAAAACCTTGTTTAACTGTCACCATTATACAGTAAAACCTTGTTATACTGTCACCATTATACAGTAAAACCTTGTTATACTGTCACCATTATACAGTAAAACCTTGTTTAACTGTCACCATTATACAGTAAAACTTTGTTTAACTGTCACCATTATACAGTAAAACCTTGTTATACTGTCACCATTATACAGTAAAACCTTGTTATACTGTCACCATTATATAGTAAAACCTTGTTTTACTGTCACCATTATATAATAAAACCTTGTTTAACTGTCACCATTATACAGTAAAACCTTGTTATACTGTTACCATTGCATATAAATATAACCCCTGACTAACCATGTAATACATGTACACTTTCAGTGACATCATGCTATTCTAACTTCAATTTTGCTAACATTTCTAGGTGAGCGATACAGTCCCTACCTCTTGTTCAGTAAAACCTTGTTTGATAATGTCACAATGTTTTCATCAATAAAACCTTTCTATTCCGCCACCATTTGCATCGCAAAATCACCTTTTTTCTCCTCGAATTAAGGGCCTGTTTAACCAGTTTGATGACATCGTTTTTGCTTGTGGATCTGGCGGTACAGCTGCTGGTCTGTCTATCAGTAATCACCTCACTGGTTCTCACGTCAAGTAAGTTAACTATAACAGGACCTCGTTTCTAGGATGGTTATATTGAGCTTATCCAGTGTACATGTTCTGTACTTTACCTGGTACAAAGTACCATACCAGGATGAGCTTATGTGGTTGTGCTTCCTAAATTGCATAACTACTTAACACACTGAGAACGTAAAGGATCTTTTTACATGATAATTCCATGAAGTACAATTTTAAAGTCCTTTACAGAAATAACAAAAATCAACAGGAACACAATTTTATGCTGTAACAGTAGTTTGTTTTGTTAGCTCAACTGTTGTTTTACTAATTTGTTTAAGCTAAATGTTGTTTTGCCGTAGTTTGTTTTAGCCTAACTGTTGTTTTACTAAGTATATATTAGCCTAACTGTTGTTTTACTTACTGTAGTTTCTTTAAGCCAAACTGCTGTTATACTTAGTTTGTTCAAGTCTAACTGTTGTTTTACAGTAGTTTGTTTTAGCCTAACTGCTATTTTACTTAGTTTGTTTTAGCCTGATTGCTGACATAGTTTGTTTAAACCTAACTATAGTGTTAGTTTAAGCCTAACTGTTGTTCTACTTACAGTAGTTTCTTTGAGCTGAACTGCTGTTATACTTAGTTTGTTAAGGACTAGCTGTTGTTATACTTAGTTTGTTCAAGCCTATCTGCTGTTATACTTAGTTTGTTTTAGCCTAAATGTTGTTTTACTTACAGTAGTTTGTTCAAGCCTAACTTCTGTTTGACCTGGTTTGTTTTAGCCTAACTGTTGTTTTACTTAGTTTGTTTTAGCATAACTGTTGTTTTACTTAGTTTGTTTTAGCCTAACTTCTGTTTTGCTTCGATTGTTTTAGCCTGACTGTTGTTTTACTTAGTTTGTTTTAGCCTTACTGTTGTTTTACTTAGTTTGTTTTAGCCTGACTGTTGACATAGTTCATTTAAACCTAACTATAGTGTTAGTTTAAACCTAATTGTTGTTTTACTAAGTTTGTTTTAGCCTGACTGTTGTTTTACTAACAGTAGTTTCTTTAAGCTAAACTGCGGTTATTTCTTAGTTTGTTCAAGACTAACTGTTAATTTACTTAGTTTGTTTAAGCCTTACTGTTGTTTTACTTACAGTAGTTTCTTTGAGCTAAACTGCTGTTATACTAAGTTTGTTCAGGACTAGCTGTTGTTATACTTAGTTTGTTCAAGCCTATCTGCTGTTATACTTAGTTTGTTTTAGCCTAACTGTTGTTTTACTTACAGTAGTTTCTTTAAGCCTAACTGCTGTTATACTTAGTTTGTTCAAGCCTAACTTATGTTTGACCTAGTTTGTTTTAGCCTAACTGTTGTTTTACTTTGTTTGTTTTAGCCTTACTGTTGTTTAAATTAGTTTGTTTTAGTCTAACTTCTGTTTTGCTTAGTTTGTTTTAGCCTGACTGTTGACATAGTTCGTTTAAACCTAAATATAGTGTTAGTTTAAGCCTAACTGTTGTTTTACTTACAGTAGTTTCTTAAAGCCAAACTGCTGTTATACTTCGTTTGTTTAAGATTAACTGTTGTTTTACCTTGTTTTATTTAGCCTAACTGCCGTTTTACTTACAATCGTTTCTTTAAGCCTAACTGCTGTTACACTTAGTTTGTTCAAGCCTAACTTTTGTTTTACCTAGTTTGTTTTAGCATAACTGTTGTTTTACTTAGTTTGTTTTAGCTTAACTGTTTTTTGAATTAATTTGTTTTAGCCTAACTGTTGTTTTACTTATAGTAGTTTCTTTAAGCCTAACTGCGGTTATTTCTTAGTTTGTTCAAGATTAACTTTTGTTTTACTTAGTTTAAGTCTAGCTGTTGTTTTACAGTAGTTTTTTTTAGCCTAGTTGTTTTTTTACTAAGTTTGTTTTAGCCTGACTGTTGTTTTACTAACAGTAGTTTCTTTAAGCTAAACTGCGGTTATTTCTTAGTTTGTTCAAGACTAACTGTTGTTATACTTAGTTTGTTCAAGCCTATCTGCTGTTATACTTAGTTTGTTTTAGCCTAACTGTTGTTTTACTTACAGTAGTTTCTTTAAGCCGAACTGTTGTTTTACTTAGTTTGTTCAAGCCTAACTTCTGTTTGACCTAGTTTGTTTTAGCCTAACTGTTGTTTTACTTAGTTTGTTTTAGCCTTACTGCTGTTTAAATTAGTTTGTTTTAGCCTAACTGTTGTATTACTTAGTTTGTTTTAGTCTTACTGTTGTTTAAATTAATTTGTTTTAGCCTAACTTCTGTTTTGCTTAGTTTGTTTTAGCCTGACTGTTGACATAGTTCATTTAAACCTAAATATAGTGTTAGTTTAAGCCTAACTATTGTTTTACTTACAGTAGTTTCTTAAAGCCAAACTGCTGTTATACTTCGTTTGTTTAAGATCAACTATTGTTTTACCTTGTTTTATTTAGCCTAACTGCCGTTTTACTTACAATAGTTTCTTTGAGCAAAACTGCTGCTATACTTAGTTTGTTCAAGCCTAGCTGTTGTTATACTTAGTTTGTTTAAGCCTAGCTGCTGTTATACTTAGTTTGTTTTAGCCTAGCTGTTGTTTTACAGTAGTTTGTTTTAACCTAACTGTTATTTTACTTAGTTTGTTTTAGCCTGACTGTTTACATAGTTTGTTTAAACCTAACTATAGTATGTACTTAGTTTGTTTTAGCCTAACTGTTGTTTTACATAGTTTGTTTAAGCCTAACGATCGTTTTACTTAGTTTGTTTAAGCCTAACTGCTGTTTTACATTGATACAGATGTCACGCTATCACCGTGTGTGATGACAAGGTTTATTTCACTGACCACATAAACAAGACCTTGTGTGACATTCGGCTGGACACTGTCCATTGTCAGGATGTATTAGACATCGTCGAGGGACACAAAGGCCGTGGGTATGGCCTATCTACACAAGATGAGCTAGGTAAGATAACTAATATTTATTTATACGAGTGACGCTAATTAGATTTGATTTATGTTCAAAACTTAAAAAGTTCATCCAAAATTATATTAACTGTATAAGTATTGTCGTTACAGAGTTCATTATGAAGGTTAGTCGTGAGACTGGGATAATGTTGGATCCTGTTTACGCAGGGAAGGCTGCCATGGGCCTTGTCAAGGAACTCAACAATAACCCTGACAGGTTTAAGGGGGAACGGATACTCTTCTTACATACAGGTCTGTATAACATAGACAGCATACATACAGGTCTGTATAACATAGACAGCATGCATACAGGTCTGTATAACATAGACAGCATACATACAGGTCTGTATAACATAGACAGCATACATACAGGTCTGTATAACAAAGACAGCATACATACAGGGCTGTATAACAAAGACAGCATACATACAGGGCTGTATAACGAAGACAGCATACATACAGGTCTGTATAACAAAGACAGCATACGTACAGGTCTGTTTAACAAAGACAGCATACATACAGGTCTGTTTAACAAAGACAGCATACAAACAGGTCTGTATAACAAAGACAGCATACATACAGGTCTGTACAACAAAGACAGCTGCATAGCTGGAAATAGGCAGTGGAGGTGTTTGTCTATACATAAATCTCTTGATAATACAACAATGTTTCCTTCGATTGTTTATTATATTTAGCTCACCTGGTCCGAAGGACCAAGTTGAGCTTATGCCATACCGTGGCGTCCGTCGTCCGTCCGTCGTCCGTACGTACGTCAACAATTTCTTTAAACGACTTCTTCTTCTTAACCACCGGTTGGAATTAAACTAAATTTGACTGGAAGCATCCCTAGGTGGTGGGGATTCAAAATTGTACAAATGGTGGGGCTGACCCCCCAGGGGACTGAGGGGCGGGGCCAAAAGGGGTCAATTTGCCCATATTGCTTTAAGCGACTTCTTCTCTGGAACTAAGAAGTGGATATCAACCATATTTGACTGGAGGCATCCCTGGGTGGTGGTGATTAAAAATTGTACAAATGGTGGGGCTGACTCTTCAGGGGGCTTAGGGGCGGGGCCAAAAGGGGGCAATTTGGCTATATTGCTACAAACGACTTCTTCTGTAGAACTGTGCACTGGATATCAATCATATTTGATCAAAAGCATTCCTGGGAGGCAGGGATTTAAAATTGTACAAATGGTGTGGCTGACCCCCCAGGGGGCTGAGGGGCAGGGCCAAAAAGGGTATTTGGCTATACTGCTTTAAGTGACTTCTTCTCTGGAACTAAGTGATGGATATCAACCTTATTTGACTGGAAGCATCTCTAGGTGGTGGAGATTCAAAATTGTACAAACGGTTGGGCTGACCCCCCAGGGGGCTGAGGGGCGGGGCCAAAAGGGGGCAATTTGGTTATATTGCTATAAATGACTTCTTCTGCAGAACTATGCCATGGATATTGATCATATTTGGTCGGAAGTATTCATGGGAGGCAGGGATTCAAAATTGTACAAATGGTGGGGCTGACCCCCCGGGCTAAGGGGTGGGGCCAATAAAATGTATTACTTGGAAATGGTTGAGATCCCCACCATATAACCATATATACAATTGCTGAGTATAAAGAGAAGAATGCACATTTGCTTCCAGGATGTCCCTAGGGTCTGGCCCCACCCTTGGAGACATAGTCCCTGGGCCATAACTTTAAAACGGTTGAGATCCCCACCCCAAAACTATATATACAAATGCTGGGCATAAAGAGACGAATGCAATCATGATATCAGAATAGACCCTGGGGTCTGACCGAACCCCTAGGGACCTAGTTTCTTAGTCACAGCTTGGAAACAGTTGAGAGCCCCACCCTATAACCGTATATATACAATTGCTGAGTATAAAGAGATGATTGCACATATGCTTCCAGGTTGGCCTTGGGGACTGCCCCACCCTTGGAGACTTAACCCCTGGGTCATAACTTTGAAATGGTTAATATCCCCACCCCAAAACTATATATACAATTGTTGGGCATAAAGAGACGAATGCAGTCATGATATTAGAATTGATCCCAGGGTCTGCCCCACCCTTGCAGACTTGGCCCCTGGGTCATAACTTTGAAACGGTTGAGATCCCCACCCCAAAACTATATATACAAATGCTTGGCAAAAAGAGACAAATGCAGTCAAGATATTAGAATCGATCCTGGGGTCTGGACACAACTCTAGGGACCTAAATTCTGAGTCAAAGCTTGGAAACAGTTGAGATCCCCACCCCATAACCATACATAAAATTGCTGGGCATGAAAAATCTAATATAGCTATGCTACAAGGATTGGCCTTGGGGTCTGGCATATTCCCTTGATCTCATTTGGAGAATAGTTTGCCATGATTGCTTAGGTATCCAGGTGAGCGATACAGGCCCTCTGCGCCTCTTGTTCATTACCTACGCATAATTTCATATATGTTTGTTGCTAAATAATTATTTCTCATATCCCAGCCCATCATCCCCCAGCTGTTCAGATTTTTAGGTTACCTGACCATAGGTCATGGTAACCTTTCGTGATAGTCTTTTGTCCGTCGTCGTCCGTCTTCGTTCGTCGTGCGTTAACTTTTCCTTGTGAACACGATGACTGTTAACCGAGTTTGATGAAACTTTGTATGCAGCCATATATCAATAAGATCTCATACGAGTTCGAAAATGGTAATTATTCGACAGCAACTTACAGAGTTATTGCCCTTTGTAATAATATTATTATTGGACCTTGTGAACACGAGAACTTGAGTAAATGTTAACCGATTTTGATGAAACTTTGTATGCAGCCATAAATTTCAATAAGATCTCATACGAGTTCGAAAATGGTAATTATTCGACAGCAACTTACAGAGTTATTGCCCTTTGTAATAATATTATTATTGGACCTTGTGAACACGAGAACTTGAGTAAATAATAACCGGGTATGATGAAACTTTGTATGCAGCCATATATCAATAAGATCTCGAACGAGTTCAAAAATGGGAATTATTCGACCGTTACTTACAGAGTTATTGCCCTTTGTAATAATATTATTATTGGACCTTGTGAACACGAGAACTTGAAAAATTGTTAACCGAGTTTGATGAAACTTTGTATGCAGCCATATATCAAAAGGATGTCGGACGAGTTCGAAAATGGGAATTATTCGACAGTAACTTACAGAGTTATTGCCCTTTGTAATAATATTATTATTGGACCTTGTGAACACGAGAACTTGAGTAAATGTTAACCAAGTTTGATGAAACTTAAAATTTGTATGCAGCCATATATCAATAAGATCGCGGACGAGTTCGAAAATGGGAATTGTTCGACAGTAACTTACAGAGTTATTGCCCTTTGTAATGATATTATTATTGGACCTTGTGAACATGAGAACTTGAATAAATATTAACTGAGTTTGATGAAACTTTGTATGCAGCCATATATCAATAAGATCGCGGACGAGCTCGAAAATGGGTATTATTCGATGGTAACTTAAAGAGTTATTGCCCTTTGTAATAATATTATTATTGGACCTTTGAACATGATATCTTAAATAATTATCAACCAAATTTGATGAATCTTTGTATGCGGCTTTATATCAATAAGAGCTCGGACGAGTTATAAAATGGCAATTATTCGACAGTAACTTACAGAGTAATAGCCCTTTGTAATAATATTATTATTGGACCTTTGAACATGATATCTTAAATAATTATCAACCAAATTTGATGAAACTTTGTATGCGGCTTTATATCAATAAGATCTCGGACGAGCTATAAAATGGCAATTATTCGACAGTAACTTACAGAGTAATTGCCCTTTGTAATAATATTATTATTGGACCTTGTGAACACCAGAACTTGAGTAAATGTTAACCCAGTTTGATGAAACTTTGAATGCAGCCATATATCAATAAGATCACGGACTCTAAATGGGAATTATTTGACAGTAACTTACAGAGTTATTGCCCTTTGTAATAATATTATTATTGGACCTTGCGGACACGAGAACTTGAGTAAATGTTAACCAAGTTTGATGAAACTTTGTATGCAGCCATATATCAATAAGATCTCATACGAGTTCGAAAATGGGAATTATTCGACAGTAACTTACAGAGTAATTGCCCTTTGTAATAATATTATAATTGGACCTGGTGAACACGAGAACTTCAGTAAATGTTAACCAAGTTTGATGAAACTTTGTATGCAGCCATATATCAAAATGATGTCGGACGAGTTCGAAAATGGGAATTATTCGACAGTAACTTACAGAGTAATTGCCCTTTGTAATAATATTATTATTGGACCTTGTGAACACGAGAACTAGATTAAAATTTTAACCAAGTTTGATGAAACTTTGTATGCAGCCATATATCAAAAAGATGTCGGACGAGTTTGAAAATGGGAATTATTTGACAGTAACTTACAGAGTTATTGCCCTTTGTAATAATATTATTATTGGACCTTGTGAACACGAGAACTAGATTAAAATTTTAACCAAGTTTGATGAAACTTTGTATGCAGCCATATATCAAAAAGATGTCGGACGAGTTCGAAAATGGGAATTATTCGACAGTAAATTACAGAGTTATTGCCCTTTGTAATAATATTATTATTGGACCTTGTGAACACGAGAACTTGAGTAAATGTTAACCAAGTTTGATGAAACTTTGTATGCAGCCATATATCAATAGGATCGCGGACGAGTTCGAAAATGGGAATTATTCGATGGTAACTTAAAGAGTTATTGCCCTTTGTAATAATATTATTAGTGGACCTTGTGAACATGATATCTTAAATAATTATCAACCAAATTTGATGAAACTTTGTATGCGGCTTTATATCAATAAGATATCCGACGAGTTATAAAATGGCAATTATTCGACAGTAACTTACAGAGTATTTGCCCTTTGTAATAATATTATTACACTATTTTGTATTGGACCTTGTATTCACAATAACTTGAGTAAATATCAACCGAGTTTGATGAAACTTTGTATGCAGCCATATATCAATAAGATCTCGGACGAGTTCGAAAATGGGAATTATTTGACAGTAACTTACAAAGTAATTGCCCTTTGTAATAATATTATTATTGGACCTGGTGAACACGAGAACTTGAGTAAATGTTAACCAAGTTTGATGAAACTTTGTATGCAGCCATATATCAATAAGATCGCGGACGAGTTCGAAAATGGGAATTATTCGATGGTAACTTAAAGAGTTATTGCCCTTTGTAATAATATTATTAGTGGACCTTGTGAACATGATATCTTAAATAATTATCAACCAAATTTGATGAAACTTTGTATGCGGCTTTATATCAATAAGATATCGGACGAGTTATAAAATGGCAATTATTCGACAGTAACTTACAGAGTATTTGCCCTTTGTAATAATATTATTACACTATTTTGTATTGGACCTTGTATTCACAATAACTTGAGTAAATATCAACCAAGTTTGATGAAACCATATGTAGCCTTATATCAATAAGATCTCGGATGAGTTCGAAACGTGGAATTATTTAATAGTAACTTACAGAGTTATTGCCCTTTTTAATAATGGTGAACACAATAACTTGAATGAATGTTAACCGAGTTTGATGAAACTTTGTATGCAGCCATATATCAATAAGATCTCGGACGAGTTCGAAAATGGGAATTATTTGACAGTAACTTACAGAGTAATTGCCCTTTGTAATAATATTATTATTGGACCTTGTGAACACCAGAACTTGAGTAAATGTTAACCGAGTTTGATGAAACTTTGTATGCAGCCATATATCAATAAGATCCCGGACTCTAAATGGGAATTATTTGACAGTAACTTACAGAGTTATTGCTCTTTGTAATAATATTATTATTGGACCTTGTAAACACGATAACTTGAATAAATGTTGACGGAGTTCAATGAAACTTTGTCAGCAGTGTTACATCTAAAAGATCTTGGACAAGTTGACAACGAAAAATGTTTGTTATGACATGAAGCAAAGTTGATGAGAATTATACAAGGAGTCGACTCACAAAAGGTCAAGGTCACTTGGTAAAAAGTCTTGGTCAAACTATATCATTTTACTGATGAATTCTTAGTTTTGAGCATCAGATTTTGCATTTCTTCACTAATGAACATTTTATGACATTATGAAGCAAAGTTGGTCAGAATTAAACAAAGAGTTGACTCGACAAATGTCAGTCACCGAGTAAAAGGTCAAACTTCATATCTTTTCACTGATGAATAACAAAGAATCAACTGACCAAAGGGAATTCATTGTCGTGTTGCTTTGCATAATTGTGAAGATCAAAGAACACAGTAAATTTAATCGAGTAGGGTAGGGGGTACATGTATGTCTTACAGACATTTTCCAGTGTTTAGAATTTCACTTCTAAACTGGACGTGATGTTGATTGACATTACACAAGAATAGATGTAAAATCATGTGATACACCTTTTTTTAGGTCACCTGAGCTTTAGCTCAAGTGACCTATTGCTATCCGTTTTCGTCCGTCGTCGTCCGTCGTCCGTCGTACGTCGTCCGTCGTCCGTCGTCCGTCGTCCGTTAACATTTTACATTTCAAACTTAAAGTCAAGTTCTGCTGGGCCGATTGAACTGAAAGTTGATAGGAATGATCGCCTCATGGTCCTGACAAGGTGTTGTTATTTTTCGGGTCGATCAGAAATCCAATATGGCCGCCACGGCCGCCATTTTGAAAACCTATTTCAAACTTAAAGTCAAGTTCTGCTGGACCGATTGAACTGAAAGTTGGTAGGAATGATCGCCTCATGGTCCTGACAAAGTGTTGTTATTTTTCGGGTCAATCAGAAATACAATTTGGCTGCCATGGCCGCTATTTTGCTACTAAGTTCTAATAGGCCGATCTCACTTAAAATTGGTCTAGGAATGATCAGCTCATGGTCCTGACAAAGTTAAGTTAACATTATACTATTTTTTACTCAAATTGGTACATATTTCAACAACAAAAATAAATACTATAGACTCAGGTGACCGTTAAGGCCCATGGGCCTCTTGTTTCATTCATGACGCATTTTTGCTACTAACAAGGTGCTATTAAAATTTTGTGCCTTATTCAATAAATCATTGATTTACGCTTTTACTTTTTTCTTTTAACCAAGAACAGAAGACATACAGTAACCAAGTTTGTTCAAAACAGACCTCTTGGGTCAAAATTGGAGTCACCCCCATTTATTTCTGTTATCGTGTTCACAGGGTCTAACAATATTAGAATTACCAAGGGGAATAACTATGTTAGTTATGGTCAAATTGGTCCGGTATTCAAACTCATCTAAGAAGATCAAAGAACACAGTAAATTTAATCGAGTAGGGTAGGGGGTACATGTATGTCTTACAGGCATTTTCCAGTGTTTAGAATTTCACTTCTAAACTGGACGTTATGTTGATTGACATTACACAAGAATAGATGTAAATTCATGTGATACTCCTTTTTTTAGGTCCCCTGAGCTTTAGCTCAAGTGACCTATTGCTATCCGTTTTCGTCCGTCGTCGTCCGTCGTCCGTCGTACGTCGTCCGTCGTCCGTCGTCCGTCGTCCGTTAACATTTTACATTTCAAACTTAAAGTCAAGTTCTGCTGGGCCGATTGAACTGAAAGTTGATAGGAATGATCGCCTCATGGTCCTGACAAAGTGTTGTTATTTTTCGGGTCAATCAGAAATACAATTTGGCTGCCATGGCCGCTATTTTGCTACTAAGTTCTAATAGGCCGATCTCACTTAAAATTGGTCTAGGAATGATCAGCTCATGGTCCTGACAAAGTTAAGTTAACATTATACTATTTTTTACTCAAATTGGTACATATTTCAACAACAAAAATAAATACTATAGACTCAGGTGACCGTTAAGGCCCATGGGCCTCTTGTTTCATTCATGACGCATTTTTGCTACTAACAAGGTGCTATTAAAATTTTGTGCCTTATTCAATAAATCATTGATTTACGCTTTTACTTTTTTCTTTTAACCAAGAACAGAAGACATACAGTAACCAAGTTTGTTCAAAACAGACCTCTTGGGTCAAAATTGGAGTCACACCCATTTATTTCTGTTATCGTGTTCACAGGGTCTAACAATAATAGAATTACCAAGGGGAATAACTATGTTAGTTATGGTCAAATTGGTCCGGTATTCAAACTCATCTAAGATCTCATTGTTACAAAGCTGCATACAAAGTTTCATCAATCGGTTCATATTTACTTAAGTTATTGTGTTCACAAGGAAAAATAATAGACGATGCAGCAAGGTCACTCGGAACGACGAAAAGTATGAATTGGCCCCTGGATGACAGTCCTAATTTGAATCAGATGTCAGGTGACCGTTAAGGCCCATGGGCCTCTTGTTTTAAGTAAGCATATTTCAAAATTAATGGTGAACTGTTGACACTTCTTGTAAACAAGAATTCAAAAACACTTTTTTTTTATTTTCTTGTTTATGGAAAGTGCTGACACTTCTCGATTAATGTTTAAGTTTTCATTTACGTAATTTTGACACCTTTATGTATTTTGAATCCTCCAATCATTTTCTTTTTGGTTGAGGGAAAATACCCCCTGGGCCCCTACCGTGGCTGTGCCCTGAACATGCTGAATGCCTAGCTAGTCCCCAGATCCCTCGCTTAAATTAACCCAAATACGCCCGTGATAGATGTTTAGGCGTGTAGACACATTTAAGGGAATGTCCTTTTAGCCACTGTTTAACCAATTTCATAATTTGGAATGTAGAAATGATATACAATTGCTGTATTGTGCCTTAAGTAGGCTGAAGCATTCACGCGTTTCTATCCAAGGATTGCAGTACATCTGTACATGTTTGCTTGTAGGTGGAATATTTGGCATGTTTGACGGTAGCCTGGATTCTATTGTAAAGGAGGAGACCAGGAACTTGGTACATATGTGGCCACACATGGACAGTTCCCTGGAATAAAAACTGATACGAGTCACTACCCATCAACTCACTCAACTAATTCGGCGCAAGACCAGTGAAACCCGAGGTTCTGGGTTTGATCCTGATAAGGCATGAACAAATAATGACCTCTCTTACATGTATTTGAAGAAATCAAGATTTCTTTTACCACTGTACCAAGAAACATAGTAAAGAAATGGGTGATTCATATGTGAATATCAATAATTGTATAATTAGGGCTTTTCACCAACTGGTGAAAAGACCTATTGCTTTTGTTAAGTTTCTTATTATTCTTATTATTATTCTTATTATTATTATTCTTATTATTCTTCTTCCGTACTTTGTGGAATCTGTATCTTTTGATTGGTAAACGAGAGATTTATAGTCTTTTAAGTATGTTGTAGGAAAAGGTCTAAAGCTGATCAAGCAACATTTTCAAGGTGGTCAAAAATTAAATATGGCCGCCATGACGTCATAGGTCAAAATCTTAAAATGGCCATAACTCAAAAACGGTTTAATTTACAGAATTGACACAATTATATAATATGTAGAATATCTTAGGGGCTAACTTTAATTACCACATGGTTTTTCATTTAAAGGTCAAATAAAAAAGCTCGCTGTTGGGTCAAAGGTCATAATTTTTAAAAAACATTCATTTTTCATTGTTTTGGAAAAATACTTCTACAGATCGATGGAGGATGTCCTTCCGATGAATTTGATGTCTTTAGTGTTTCTGTAACGTTAACCGTTAACGTTTTAAGCCATTTTGAATATTTCCTTTGATCTTTTAAAAAATTCGCAATATTTTAAAACTTGTTTTACTCCAATATCAATGACAAATATTTGATTTATTTGTTATGAAAAAGGTTTCCCCAGATGTTTTCTAACATTTAAAAAAAAATCAACTTCATTGAAAAATTAAAATGGCCGCCATGACGTCATACCTTAAAAATCTTAAAATGGCTATAACTCAAACACAGTTGAATTTACAGCCTTTAAG